GAGGTTAGTCACTAATGAGGTCACTTCGCACCTCGACGCGAAGCAATGTCATTCGAGACTAACGTCCCACACCCCGTTTCCTCTGACCAGAAGATTTTTACGGCTTAGTCAGTATTCCACAAGTAAAATGATCGCGTTCTTCGCAGAAACATTCGAAACGTTCATCGAAAAGCATTTACTCACTGGAAATTTGCTGTATGAACGGCAAAACGTTGTTTGTTTGGGGAGCCATGATTAATGGTAAGACGTTGGTTTTGTCGGTGATGGCGTGAGAACTGCCAAATAGTGTACTTAAAGACTATACTGATTGGCGTGATTGGCGTACTGAAGCCTTATTGCATCACGAAATCATCAGGAAAGGAAGGGTGCCATGAGTTAGCGGAGCATTCCGAATTCGCCACAAAAGCATTCGAGTCCTGCTTGACCGGCGATTCGTCTGGTGCCGGATAACCGCAAAAAACTACGCGGTCTGGGCCTGTATATTTTGATCAGTGTTTTTTCTAGCTTTTAAGTAGTTGCATAGGCAGCTGTTCAACTGTGACGAATAGCAGTGGTTTCACCTTCCCCTTTCAAAGACCTTTCTTCCATAACAATAGGTCTTACTCGCCTTCTGTATCTTATTTTGCAGCAGTTTCATCAGATGTTTGCCATGTTTCCTAACAGCTTTGTACTCTTGAAATTTTTTTTTGTTTTTATGCTCTATATAGTAGCTTTTTTCCAGAGATCAAGCCGAGAGGCTGATAGAACCATTGGTGAACGAATTAGTAAACATTAAAGTGAATGGTCACGAAAACAGGTGCAGATACCATCTATCCAATGCCCTGTATCACCTAGCGGACACACATCCCGACTTATTTCAAGTTATCTTGGATAAGCTTTTGCTGAAAACCAGGAGCAGTAAGGCTAAGGTATCAAACTCTTTTCTGTTTCCATATTTGTTACCACTCCTTACTTTTTATCGCAGATTCGCTATCGGGGACTACTTGTGATGGAGGCCCTTCTGGACAAAGTCGGAGACGGCGTCGCACCGCATTTACCTACGGTCATACCGTTTTTGAGTGAACTACTTGAAGGTGCTGGGTTTTTTGTTTTTGAATGTTTCGACCACGTTCACACTCTGAACAGCGTATTTCAGACGAAAATCGCAACGTTGAAGGACAGTGTGATCGTGTGGTGCGGTTACTTCAGAGCAAGTTTGGAGAAAATATCTGCGAAGGTTTCATGTGAACGGTTTCCATGTTCTTTGGTTGTTCCTTGAATTTTGTTGCTCCATAATGTTTTTATTTGCTCAAGTTGTTTTCTTGTTGAGTATCAAGTTTGTTTGCTTTGTAAGTATTAATACTTGTTACGTTGTTGCATGTTTGTTATAAAGTTGTTATTGGTCCAGCTTGTATCTGCACGATCTCGCTCTTCAAATCTCATCAACTGTTTTAGGGGCTCTGGAATTGAGCCGCTACAAGAGTTGGATGATGAGCTGGGGTCGGAAATCAAATTGGAAAGAGCAAAACTCAGAGTGTGTGAAGTGGTATTGTTAAACAGAGAAGGATCTCGAACTGGTGTCGGTGGTTGTGCAGGACTTCACCGACATGTCCCACGACAAGCGCTTCCTTTTTTCGTGTAAACTCGCCTGTAGCAATAGATCCTGGAGAATTACAATGTCTATTTCATAGTAAACCATTTGCCCCGTACGGTTACAATGCGTGTTGTTCGATACCGCGGACCAGTTACAATGCAAAGACCTCCCTTCCAATGCCGTCAAAATTTTTGCGTAGGTGCTTTTTTGCAAATGAAAGATTAGACATTATTCAAGTAGGCGCCTTATCTGATGGGGATATCTTTTCTGCTCATCGCACTTACTTACGGCAGGAAACTCCACATGTGGTTCATTTTCCTTTGTGACGTACCACGATTATGGATTGACCCATGAGTGCTAATCATTGGTGTAATAGCAAGTATCTACTGTTCTGCCGCATCGAAATGCTGATCCTTGAGTACTATACTGAAGGCACAGTACACGATAATTCTCTGTTGCTGGCTCGCGGGGCTTCCCCGCCCCCCGATCGATGTCGCGTCAGACGAGTGTCGAGGCGATACAGATTGCAAGTATCCGCGTCAGGAACCGTACACAGTCGGCTGACCGCTAAGTGATGAGGCGACGTTTTTCATCCATTCTTTTTTCTGTATTATTCTTTTTCCTGCTGCGATCGCTTATTTAATTCTCTATCCCAAGGGGCTGGAAAAGGTAAGCTATTTATGCTGTTACTAGTTTTTTTTGCTAACTTATGCCTAAGAGTGGATAAATTTTTGCTTACAGCGGTCAACTATTCGCAGCAGGTCCCACACGTATAAGTGAAACACATTGTATAGCTCGTCCAAACGCCCCACTCTTCTTCATTTTTCTGGTCTCACTCTCTTCCAGCCCCTCTTAACACCGATTCACACAGTTTCTTCACCTCCATCGCACTATTTTCAATCTTGTCTTCCATTTTTCATCGTAATCTTTATTACCCAGAATTATCGTGAACTGTGCCTCTACATCTTATGGAAGATATTCTTTCATGGATGTGTAGAGAAGCATCATGCATAAAGAAGGAAATATGTGAACAACATAATTCCTTCACACATTTTTGATCACTGATAGTTGAGTCTTCGATACGCATCTTTCCAAGGCGATTTCTCTCATGTGTTCTATTATTGAAAATTAAAAAGAATCGTAAAATTGTGTGCACAAACGTTCTATCCAGAGGTAGGACAGAACGTTCCACATAATAGCAGGCAGTAAAGACGATGAGCGCAAACGATAGCCTAATCATGACGCATAATAGGATAGGTATCAGAAGAGGTAACAAGTGCTTGCGTTGAGGAAAAAGCACACTATGTAGCAACTTTGACGACGATAGGAAGCGAATTCACATCAAGGAACGACCTCCTCAGAAGGATAACCACTACTTCTGCACCAAGACGGCCCTTGCTGTGATGCGAAAGCTGCGCCCTTCAACATAAACCATGTATCTTCAAGCAAATTCAGAATTTCCATAGCTTCTTGAGGGAGCTGCTCGGCAGCTCCTAGGAATCAACTCGCGATTTCGTGAAATGTAGAAAACCTTCCCTGGTTGGTGGGAGATGCTTTGGACCATGAAAAAAGCCACATCCATCGCTGCTTGTTTACGAAGAGAGACTTTGTGTTTCACATAAATCACAACTTTGTCGGTTACTGGAACACTTTATTATGTTGTCACTTGGACACTTTGGTTTTTGATTCAGGAAACAATTTGTTGACTTTATTATTTACGGCAAGCTGAATTGCTTTCAATAACTTAGGGGCGACATACGTGTCTTCGAAAGATCCAAAAGTCTCAGCCTCTTTGAGAAAGTACGCCCATCCTTTTGTTAGCCGGTAATGCCTGAAATTTTGAAACTTTGTTCAAGGATCTGGAGTGGTAGCTGCAGTCCAATGAATCATATTCTACCTAACAACGGCATCCTCTGGTGGAACGAGACGCACTGTGGTGCCTGGAGAAAAACGGAGGACCTGATGAACTCCCATGCTTTCCACCTGCAACCAATTAATGACTCGAGTCAAATTAAAAAATTGTTGACACAGATTGTTGAAGAGTTTTTAGTGTGCTGTTCGTGACGACTGCTTTCATAGTCCACGATTTGGCGAGCAACCGACCGTGCGACTGATCGCGCAGCTGCTCGCTCAGTCGCTCGCTCGATAGGCCCGCGATCGCGAACGGTCGCGCGATCGGTCGTTCGCCAAAACGTGGACTATGAAAGCAGCCGACCAAATATTGGTGCAATGTATTTGTATGTATTACACGGCTTCTTGAGAAAATCATCGTATACGATCGGGTGGTTTCGTCTTGATATCTCGGTCCTTTTAGCATGACCGTGTAGGCGAAAAAGTTTGCACAGATATTCGGCAGCAGGCACAACTGGTACCTGAGAGATGAACGTACCTTCAGAGGTTGTATAATACTTTTTGTAGTGTGATTCAGAGGCGCTACGTGGCTGGTATTATGCCATACATCCATTGGAACACGCGAACCCTCCAGTCTCCATTGAATGGGGTCAGCGGGTGTTTCCTTCAAACGTAGCAACCAACGACAACGAAACCGCAGCTCAGCATTGACTGGTAACGCATGAGATCTTAACTCATAATAAAATTTTACCTGTAAAATAAATGTGAGTTGAATTGGTTTAGGGTGGAAAATTATGACCTTCTAGTATTAGCATGCAGGAACTGAGTCAGAAAAACTGTCCTTATAAAGCAAACTTGATTACCGCAAACACTTGAGAGTAAGCTCTGAATTTGATAAACTTACTCAATATATTGCCTGAGTGTAAATTCTCCATTGACACTGATCCGCTCGTCGAGGTCAACTGTAGCCACCCAGTCGCTCCGACCACGTGTTCGGAAAACGCAGTCCTACAAGGGTGAATGAACAATATCTATCGCGGTTTAGGAGGTAAAAGTGAACCTGAAGTTGCATTTCGTGTCGGCAACGATGTCTCTTCAGGCAGTTGGTGGTCTCGTTGATGTTTACTATTTCTAGTATTCCTTCGTTTTCATAGTCATTCAGCACTATGTCTCCATAGGTGTCCAAAGACTGCCTGTAGACGTAGAAATACTCGACACCCTGAAGGCCTCACACATAAATGTTATTGTTCAAGTGACATTGTAGCAAACCTGCAGTCTGTAGTATTCAATGAATTCAATCAGCAAAAGCCATTTTGGGCTAGTACCCCACAGAGGCGCCAAGCACACGCTAAGTAAAGATTTCTCACCTGCAATTTATGTAAGATTTGATCCATATGGTTGTTTATTATGCAAATGGAATACTCGCACACCTAGTCGTACTGTTAGGTTACCTTTTGAATAACTCTTCCTTACGGTTTGGATTTTATGCATGTCCTGTGATTTCACGGCGTCGAGGGCGTTCAACGACAACGCAACGAATCGTGCGTGATTGCTCGGTGGACAATGTATCGTGAATTCGGGGAATACGAGCGATTGAGTTGCTGGGAGGATTTCTTGAAGTTGGTCGTCAAAGAGGCGACAGAACAGTCGACGCCTGAAACCCACGAAAGCAAAAGACTAAAGTGGATCAGATATGAAAGACATGACAGCATTCATTTCACGTGGTTCGACGAAAAAGTGGGTGCTCCTGCAGTAGGAATGTGCAATTTTAAAGCCAGTAATAGAATAAGCCCGTACATGGGTTCTACCTTGTCGCGGTGTACGGGCTTGAGGCGAGACCGGGATCCCGCAAGGGAAA